ACACTGCCTGGCCCATAGCTGTGAGGAGCTGAGCCGCCACTGGTTGGAGGGAAGGCGAGGAGTCCTGGCTTAATATTGCCATCCCCAGATCACTTTGATCAAGATGGAAGGGCGTGCAGAGATTAAGGTAACACACTTGCGTGTCACACTTCTGCACATGTGTGCAAGCTTGACATGCCCCCCGTGTGGGCGGGGGGGGGCAGTGATCCCTGTCCATGCCCCAGTTCAAGGCAGCCCACGAACCGGCACCGGGCCACGGACTGGAGGTTGGGGACCCCGGCTCTAAATATCTCTCACACAGTTTTTCATTTTTAGAGCTAGCCATGGTGCTGAACTACACTGGTTGCCTAACCATGGTTAAGGCAACCTGGTGTTTACACACCCATTTCTAATGGTAATACCATGGTTAATGCGGGGGGGGGGGATGTGATGCTGCACCATCAATACTTTCAACAATTAAAGGGATGGATGAAATTATGATAAATGACACTACCGTTTAAGATGGCACAAGCTTCATTGTTTCACTAGATTTATCCACCTCCGACAAGGTTTCCAGCATCCAGTACTCTTTCCTCCAGCTACCTAGTTTTGTTCAAACGTATGAGCTCACAACCTTCACCTACCCTTTGTTCTTAACACATGCATTTTTCAAGTGAATATAGTTGGATGGGAAGATGCCCTGAAAGAGAGAAGTAGTTCAATAAATGCAACATACCACCAAGAACAGAAAGAGAAAAGGAGAGATCATGAATGAATTATGTGCATATGAATGTGTGAACGAATCACTCAGTTCCTATGAAAACACACATGGAATAATTTATGACCAAAGCAGAGAGGACTACGTGAAAGTTAGCACAGAAATAATTCCAGGAACTCAAGGGGACACTCAACGTTTGAGTAATCACCATCTTAGAAGCATTTAAAATTTCTCTTTCAATCCTAGCAATTTGCTTCCTGATGCCAAATGTAGATTGAGCTCCCAGAGAAACTCACAAGTCTGATTCCAAAGCGAACACAGCAACTGAGAAAACTTTTGTCTGCCATCCATAGCTTATTTTCCCCACCTTCAGTAATGGTGGGTGTCATCAAATCCCATTGTGGACAAAGCCTGAACTTTCTTCTCCCTTGTACCTTACCTCACATTCCTTTTCTTATCCTTGCCCTGACTCATCCAATAAGCACATTTAGCCAAAGCACTGGGGTAACCAGTGCAGTCATCTACACCTTAGCTGTTTTTATAAAGTAGGAAAGAGAGCCAGTGTTCAGAAAGTGTCCCTTTTCTAGAAAACTACTTCTAACCTTCCCCAGTCATCTTATCCCTTGTTGTTGCTCTACGCTGAATCTTGCCAATCCATCCACTTTCCCCAGCTCCATAGAGAGATAAAATCCAATAGGTGGCACTACAAGCTCCTCACACATTGCAACACTAGTCAGTAGCAACTGCTGCAGCTAATTGCTGCACAAGGCTTCTACATTTCCACACCATCCTGACCACTTAGTATATATGAAGGAGAGGGCTTTTGCCTCCATATTCTCACAAGTCTCTTATTTTCTCCCCAAGTGCAGCTACTACTATAAGCTACAACTCCCTTGTTCATTTTAAAGTTTTGTCATGATACTGAGAAACTTCTATCTTGTAAGACAGTTCACTGCACCTTTACATTTTTTTAAATCTATTTCAGTATCATATGGATTTTGACTTAAAAGTAGAAATAGTTTTACCTTGAGATTTGGGTTTTTTAAGGCAAATCCTCTGTACCAGCCTGTAGAGAAATGAACATTTATATATAAACTCGTATTTATCTGTAAAGCAAAATTTCTCACAGTCAGATACATATATTTCAACAAATAATAAAAAGAGGCAGATTTGTAGGATTCTGCTGTAAGGCATGCTAAACTATGCACTGATAAAGCTCATATTCTTCAAAAATACCTATCAATGAAGAACAGTGTTCAGGATGATTCCCCACCCCCTTTGCATCTTTTCAACATTACAAAGTAAATTACTATTTGTGACAATCCTTTATATTCAGATATAACTCAACAGGATCTGCTGGAACATCTGGAAAGTTTATGACATGTTCAGTTATGTGATTGAACCAACTAACTTGTACTTTGCCATAGACATCCAGAATTTAATTTTCTAAAAAAACTATTTCCAAAAAAACACCCATGTGATTCAAGCCAGCTGACTACTTTGAAAGGTACATTAAATGAAGGTTACACAGGCTGGCTCTTCTACTAACACCGTCTCCACAGCCAGATACGTAAGTCACTGAGCTATCCAGCCAGATAGACATATAAAGACACAGTATCATATTATGATTTGAAACAAGTCTATCAGTTGTTAAGGGGCCAGCTTTTATAGAACATAGGTTCCCCAAAGAACTGTTTACCTAATCCAGTTTTCCATGTAATATGTTCTGCATAGAGGTTGAACAGACAGAGCATCACTGCTAATGGGAAACCATATTTTTTCAGGCCATTTGGTCAGAGTACTGGTTGCACAACAGGGAAATCCAATGTCATGGCTTATCCATTTCTTTCAAAATGATCCATAGCTTTTCACGATTCCAACAGTCAACGACTTTATTGTTATCTAGAAACCACAAATGGATTTTCTTCTAAAATTATTTCCTATGCTTGAGTAATCAATGTATATTCACAATATAATAACTAGTGCCTCTTTCTTTTCCAAATACATCTTGAACATTTGGCATTTCTCACTCCCATATTCTGAATGTCTTTGCTATAAAATAATACGTCTTTACAACCTCTGGCAGTCTCCTTTCTTTAACATAGGCATGTATATTGATCATTTCAATATGAAGGCTATCCCCTCATATTTACTGGCATATTCTTGATAGGATTTTGATTATTTCCCTAATTTCCCTTGAAATAGTTCTTTTGGTATCTCATTCATTCCTGGTGATTTATTTAAGTACATTGAGAACAACTTTTATTTCACTTTCGAAAATCATTGGTTCATCAGTTGGAGGAATCTGTTATAAGCTCTTCTGTACACCTCTTCTGTATATTGTTTCCCTATTCTTTGATTAGAAAATGCTGATCCTAATCTTAATTTTTTTGGTTAAGTGGACAAGTTCTCACTTTTCATTTTTTGCTGCTGCCCTTTTCTACTTCTTGCAATTATTGTTATAATAGGTCTCTTTGCCCTTCTGTGCAAGTTGCTGAAAATCTGCATTTACTACAGTATTCTGACCCTATTTTTGCCACCTTTTACTTTTGCTTCTCAGTTGTCGTTAACAATTTTAAGAGTCACATCAGTTTTCCATCGAGGCTTTTATTCTCTTTTAACTATATTTGAATAATAATCAGATGCAAATCTGTTTTTTGCATGGACTTTAACTTCTTTGGAATGTTATGGATATATATTTTGGCACTATTGTTGTATTAATATTCAGCTTTATTCCAATTTTTGAAATTAACAGTTTATGGTCCATACCACAGTCTGCTCCTGACTGATTTTTTCCAAAGAGAACAGAGCTTCTCCATCTTCTACTTCCAAATATATCCTCTAGCTGAGATCTTGCTGTGCAGCTCTATGTGTGCAAATAGAATGATGTCATTATCAGTGCCAAATCACCACTGATTAAAGGCTTCCTTGGCAATTTTAGGGTGCACGTGACTTCAACATGTTGTGCATGAGTCATGCACACCATAAAATTGCCTTTCATTAGTGTCAGTTTGCCTTTAATCAGTGGCAATTTACATCTGTGGCTGATATCACTTTTGTCCACTTGAACCTACAGAACAGGATTTCAGCATCTATTTCATTTCTGTATCAACCATCTAGTGACGGCCATGCATACCATTGTATGTTAGGTTGGCAGAAGCATATGTTTGTAATAAACAAATTGTTGGCTTCAGAGAATTCTATCAGTTGCTCTCCTGCTTCATTTCTTACTCCTAAGCTAAATTGTCTGATGATATTTGGTTCTACTTTTATTTCTTAATTTTTTGGTTCCAGTCTCCTATGGTTAGCAGCAGATCTGGTTCTGGACAAGGGAATAAATGCTTCCAATTTCTTCAGCATCTCTCCTTGAAGTATTATCTCTCTCTCTCTCTCTCTCTCTCTCTCTCTCTGTTTCTTTCTTCTTTTAAGATGATGGTGATTATGATGTTGGTGTTCTGTGGGGAATTGTGTTTGGAGTGGCCAGCATCTCTCTCCTAGTTTTGGCTTTGATTACTAAGAAATTCTGCAGAAAAAGGTATAGATGGAGCTGATGGTTAGCATCTGGTTCTGGACAAGGGAATAAATGCTTCCAATTTCTTCAGCATCTGTCCTTGAAGTATTCTCTCTCTCTTTGGATTACCTCATCACTGCGTTTTCATATAGGATATAAAATATTCAGAAGTGGTTTACCATTGCTGGTTTCTGCACAGTACTAACAAGAGTTGGCTTGAGCACCCCTGTCATTGTCTATGAAAGGTGTTTTGCCAGTGTCACCTTCCATTACTGCAGCTCTTGTTCAAGAATTCATCCACCCCCATCACAGTTCTCTTATGTTCATGTGGCAACTAATTCCTGAAGAAGATGGATGCATCTTAATCTGGGATCTCCGTTTTGGCCATTCTGCCTTGGGTGACTGCTAGGAATCCAGACTCATAAAAGGGTGTAACCTCCTGACGTCATTGCTCAGCTTCCCTGACATACTCAAGCCCTCTTATGACATTGCAGTGTGCATGCAAGAGTGAGTATATCAACAGGAAAAAGGATCTACTAGGAAGGAAAGTAATCCTCTTTTCCAGATCCATAACTAAATTCAAAAATCAGACAGAAGCCAACAGGTCATAAATGCATGCCCTTTCAGCATCTGCATTAAAATGAGCATCTGAAAAGTCATCTGTTTATTTAAATCGCTTTATTGCATTTATAGCTCAGCTTCCAAGAGTTCAAGGTGGCATAAATGTCCACAAGCATCCATATTTTGTAGTGCATTGTTTATCCATATTTTGGTCACCAACACCATGTGGGTATAAATTGTACTGAGAACCAGCCAAAGGTAATCTAGTACAGATTTGCACTTAGGTCTCTCCAGTTCAAGTCTGCTCCACCAATCATTAGAGAAAGTCATCTGTTTATTTAAATTACTTTATTGCATTTATAGCTCAGCTTCCAGGAGTTCAAGGTGCATAAATGTCCACAAGCATCCGTATTTTGTAGTGCATTGTTTATCCATATTTTGGTCACCAACACCATGTGGGTATATGTTGTACTGAGAACCAGCCAAGGGTAATCTAGTAAAGATTTGAACTTAGGTCTCTCCAGTTCAAGTTTGCTCCACCAATCATTAGAGGAAGGTATACGTACATTTTCTTTACATACTTGTCAACAAGTATTCTCAATGATTTTGCTTTCTCCACATACACATTTTCTTTACATACTTGTCAACAATTTAAGTCAAAGGATTAATCTGAAAAAAAAACAAACTCCTGAGTATGGTACCATAGCTAAAGCTATATGTACTCCTCACTGCCAACAGCTCATAAACAAAATGGTTTCTGGAATTATGTGTTTTGAATTAATCCACTATTTCATTTGGGGTGAATACAAAGTCCTTACCCTAAGATTCTGGACAGTTTCTTTTTCAGCTCCTCATAGGAAACAGGTACAAATACATACGGGTGCATACTTCAGGGCTATTCTCAATGATTTTGCTTTCTCCACATAAATTAAATGTTTTCCACATTCTTAATGACTTCTCCATAATATTGTTTCTATTGCATCTAGACAGTCTTGGCATTATTTGAGAAATCTTGGACATGACATGTTTTATTTCACATTATTACACATTATACAGGCATCTCTAAATTTAATAGCCTTTGTGCTCATGGCAGCAAAGTTTGCTCGGATGTTTTTTATTAGATGAGCTCTCCTTGAGAGCAAACATTCAGTTCCTGCATCAGAGTAATTAGCTGAGATAATCTTGAGTTCCCTTTCCACCTACCGGTGGTGTCCTAATGTCAACACTTACCATCACATTTCTCTAGTATTTGAACAGTGTCTCCAATCTCCAGCGATAAGCCATGAGGGATTGCTCCTCGAAAACTTGCAATTACTGAAAGAGATATTAAATTCCAATTACTCATTTTTAACAAGCTACATGTTTGCTATTACACATTCACATTGCAAGGAAAAGCAAGGCAGCTAAATGTACAGAATTTAAAAACAAATCTCAAAATGCTTCAAGCTGTATATCAAGTTATATGATTTGTGAATAGCTGGTACCATATTTGCCGGCGTACAAGACGACTTTTTGGGCCCAAAAAACATGCCTCCAAGTGGGGGGGTCGCCTTGTATGCTGGGTGCACTGAATGCGTGCTCACCCTCCCGCCACCCGCCCGTTTCCCTTTTCCTCCTCCTCCTCCTCCTCAGCCTCTTGCTCTTCCTCGCCCTCTCGCTGCTGAGCCAGTGCGCTTGCTCGCCTGCCACCTGCCCGTTTCTCCTCTTCCTCCTCCTCCTGTTGGGGGGTCCATCTTATACAGCCGGTCGCCATGTGCACCGGCAAATACGGTAATTATTTTCTCTTTCACCTTTTATTTTTACCCAAGGTAAGAAAAGTTGGTTAATGAACATCTTTTTAGACAAAATTAGAAATTTGTCATGCTAAAATAAACCAAAAAATATATATACAGTCGTTCAAGAAGGAAGTTCAAAACCACATAATATATAAGCTGGCAGTTAGCAGCTCTCTGGTTGGCTATTTGATAAAAGCTTGTGCAACCAGGTTGTAGCTTGACACAATAAGCGCAAGAAGGAACATTTGAGCACCCCACTGCCAGAGCAAAGAACATGGTTGCCACAAGATATAAGGTTGCCTTGACTGACAACTGGTGTTCCCTTCTATTCCCACTGTGCTCATCCCTCTTCTTGCTCTTATATTTGGAGATAAAGATAGACCATTTTTGCATCATGAGAACAAAACAGAGGGACCTTTATCACCACAAATAGGAATGAAGATGTGGATTTGCACAAACATTGTATATGCTTGTCTGTTTTATATATCTTCATTCTGGATGAAAAGCTCCGTGAATTAGGTATCTGGCTACAGAGCCAGATGTTGTGGGAGTTCAATTCCCCACCGTGCAGCCTGTATGGCTTTGGGCAAGGTGCACAGTCCCAGGGTGCCCCCATTTAAAAAAAAAAGGAATTATAAACTACTTCTGAGTATTAAAAAAAACCTTGGAAGGTGTTGCCCTAAGTCAGAACTGACTTGATTGCATGTTGTTGTTTATTGTTGTTCCTATATATGCTCATTTAGAAATGATTCTTCTAGTTTAAAAATCTAAATAAAAGTACATCTCATAAGTACTTCTTATAAGAGTGAGAAAATTGTGGCTGGAAACTCTGCCTGCTCAGTCTGCTGTCTACAGATAACTTTTGATAGACAACTTTAAGACCCCTCGTCTCTTCTCTTCACATATCAGACGAAATCCAAAGAAACGAAACAAAACAAAACAAACACAAAAAAAGAGACAAAAACATGCGGCACCTTAAACTCTATTATTTTAAGGTAAGCTTTCATGGACACAGTCCTTTTCACAGTCTTTAATCTGGGCAACTCTTCAGAGAGAGGGTTCTTTTCAAATAGAAGACCACTGTCCGATATCCCTTCAAGTAGAACCCTGTCTTAGGCATGTAAAACACATGACTATGATACTGAGGTGAAGGCCAGGGGAAGGACAGCCTGTCTAGGAAGGCTCACCCCTCCCTCTTACTGTGTTTTGCAAGAGGGGGAAGACTTTCCTTTCTCAGCTAAGCTTTGCTGGTTCCTCTTTTGCATCAATTCCCTTGATTAATACTTGTTTTATTATTGTTTCTAGGAGATAACAGTAAACCCAATGTGGTGATTGAACTGCAATTTCAATTATAGTCCTAGTCACAAAACACTTTACCAAAGGGAAACAATTGGAAAGATGCAGATGTGCACATGCTTTGTTTACATGTGAGTTGTTATGCTGAGTTTCCTCCAACTTATGGTGACTCTAGGAATGAGAGATGTCCAACATTTCCTATACTGTTTCCTATACTTTGTTGCAACACCTGGAGTATCCCTTTGCTTGCATGGGAAATTAAAGCAATGATCTTATAGTTACTGCACTCTTTGGCATCTCCTTTCTTGGGGACTGGAGTACATGTGAGCACAAATGAGTTATTTGGAAGGGGATGGGATACTCACTTAGATACATGCAATCTGCTTATCTTGATGCTGGTCAGCAAATACAATGCCATTAAAATTCTATTATCCTCCATAAACTCAAGGAAGTCACAGTTTCTGCTATTCTCCATAAGCCCGAGGGAAAGAATGGCCAAAAATGAGAAAATCAGTAGCAGTGAGAAGTTCAACAAACAAAGCTATGGATGCAGTCAGAATGAAAGGAAATCCATCAGACTGGCTGAGAAAGCAAAATTCCAAGAAGGAGGAAGCAGCTGTGGAATTGCAGATGTGCCTGGAGAATTGTTTATCAGTCCAATCAAGGAACTGCAACGATCTTTCGAGTCCCAGCTACATGATAAATTGTCTTTACAGGACCAGCTGCTCTCTCTCAAAGACATTGCTTGTGAGTTTGTCCCACAATGGGAAGTGGGGGGGGAGGAGCAGGGTAACACGAAGGGTCAACAGTGCCCTTAAGCATTAATCCTGAAGGCACTTTCTCTCTGCCATTATCAAGGCAAAGAAAACAAAAATCTTTACAAAACACACTCCTCGGAAGTGAGGAGCTTGAAATCTGTCCAGTCTTTGCATAAACAAGGCCATTAGGTTTTTCATGTTAAGAGTTATTTTAAACATGTCTTTCTGTGCCTATAGATGATTCCATATGAACTTATGCTACAGGAGCAGTATTTTAGATTTCAGCAGTGACATTCCTGCCACTGCTAGTAATAATATGAATACATTTCAACAGAAATCTCAACTATACATTAGAGATAGTCTATCATTAAAAGCGATAATTCTTTAATAACTGAAAAATGTGTGATTCTCACAGAAGGGGCATTGGACACCTCCCATATTTTATCCTTCCCCCAAAAAAGTGATTTGTCAGTCATCACGAGGTAAGCACAGACTTCATTTGCAAGTATGATTGCTCGGTCACAAAATCATTCTCAGATCTCATCCCTGCAACCTCTTCTAATGATGGAGTACCATTCCTGTATAATCAAGCCCTAAGGAAGGACCAATTCAAAGTCTGGATCTTTAATATCAAATTGCAAAAACAAGATGGCTTGGCTTGGATCTTTGGACAAACAAACAGGGAACACATACAAGAATGATTATTTCTGGTGCTCTCTAATGGGACCACAATGCCCACTATACACCGCAGTGGCTGATGGAATTTGTTAGACCAACACACACAAAGGTTATCAACCTGGGAAAGGTTGGACTCTACATACTTGTTCTACCAAGTCTGAATCTCATTAACTTAGGTAACCAGCAACTCCACATTATAATCACTTCAGAGTAAGAGGGCTTGTCACATTTCTGTATTACTTTTTCCCTGGCCAAGTAGGAACTTTGATTTAGGTTTTTTTAAAAAAAAAGCTCCTTGGACTTAGAAAGAGACAAACATGAAACATATGTAGGAAATTAAGTTCAAGATCCAACATTCAAAACTCCACTTCTCAGGCTCCCACGGGCAAGTGCTCTCAAACCCCTGGCTAATAGGTCACTGAACAGCACACATGTCTCTTGAACAGCTCAACTCTGTTGGAGTTTCTGAACAGATAAAGAGCACCAAGAGTCACTTCCAGTCGTTGAAAGAACCTCGTGATGTTTCTTACCCGTCCACATGCCAAAAAGCAAAAGAAGATACTAGATATACCTATACAGAAATACAAATATACAGATGCTGATATATTGCTTGAAATAAATTGTTTATCAGTAAAAACAATTCATAATTTCCTAATTTCCAGCCTTGTCCACTTGCTGCAACAAAGTCAACAAAAAGCCTTGTGGTGGAAAGAGTAGTTCAGAAAATAAAATTTATTCATCTTTAATGTGTGCCAGGTCTTGTTGTTTAATGCCTCCATAGCGTGCCTCTCTTTCAGTCCACAAAAGCATTTTCTTTATGTTGAGAAAATAACTGATGCTGCAGAATATCACTTTGCAATTTCCAGATGCATAACTAAGTGCTGTTTTCCAAAACTCATTATAAGAAAATCTGAGGGAAAGTCCTAATTATCTGATTTGGAACACAACTCATCCTAAGGGGTAATATCTGGAAGAAATATAATAACTCAGTCATACTGGGGGATTTTCTTTAAACAAATACTTTCAACCAGGAAGCAACTTTCCTTGTGCTCACATGAAGTCTAAGATTTTTTAAAACCACTGCAAGACTCACTGGAATCATGATTAATCCCTTCCGGCCGAAGGGGGGGGAGGAAAAGCAATTAAGCATGCAAGACCCATTGGAAATGCACAGAAAACAAAAGGAGCAGATCGGAAATGCACAGAGAATAAAGGGAGTAGATCGGAAATGCAAAGAAAACAAAGGAAAAAGCGAGGGAAGCATGCAGGACCCATCGGAAATGGGGAAACCCCCTCAAAAAGCAACCAAACCCCCCAAGACCCATCAGAAATGGGGGACGCCAAAAAACAAACAAACCTCCAAGATCCATCGGAAATGGGGGAAACCCCCCAAAAGCAACCAACCCCCCAAGACCCATCAGAATGGGGGGGAAACAAAAAAAAACCCAAGACCCATCACAACACAGAAACATAATCCCCCAGCTCAAAATCACACTGCAAAAACACCCAGAACAGTTTTTAAAAAGCAGAAAAGAGCACCTTACCTTATAAGGCAGTCCTAAGTTTCCCTGCGAACACACACACACTCTCAGAAACAGAAGAAGGCAGTCCCAAGCCTCCGATGACGACACACACTCTCTAACTGCTGGGGTGAAAGAGCCACAAAGAAGCAGCCTTGTCACCACCTACAGTTAGAAATTTGAATTTCCTGCCTTTTCCCCCTGCCTTTTTCTGTTCACAAGTGGAAGCTCCGGTCACAAGTAGAAGCAAAATTTGCGGCCGGAGCTGGTCTTAACTCGAAATTGTC